TGAGTTTGGGCAATCATTGGAAAGAAGTCATTGAAAGCAGACAGTGAAGCTGAATCCCATAAAATACCAACTCCAAGATTCCACTAACGTATCCAGCTGAGTCTCCTCTTTCCTGTGCCCTATTCCAGTCTGAGCCACCCTTTACAAAACCAACGATGGAAGGCTCAAGGAAGCTTTCCCTGATCGTCCCTGGACACTGGAAGGATTCCTTCTCCAAGCTTCTCTTTGCAGACAGAACAAGAGTAGGTGCCAGCTGCATGGGTGTGCACTGGCCTGACGAACCCCACAGCATCTTCCCCACCCCTCCCCACACAAGTACCAAGAGGAACCACTAGGAGAGCTGCCTGGTCATCCCCTGTACCCTAGGTGCCCTGTGCCGACTGATTTCTTGAGGGAAATGGTCTGTGTTGCTGCATCCTCAGAGTGGGCAGAAACCATGTGCACTTGCAATTAATGAACAGCATTTGCAGATGTAGCCTGAGAGTCACCTTTGGTGTGACAATGCTGATCTCTTCACCAGAACATTCATTTTGAAATATCTTGAGTCATGGACATTAGCACCATTAAATTGTTCTCTCTTAAACTTGCTCCACCAAGTTCTGTACTGGGAGGTTAGTATATTCTGGGATAAGAGGATTTCTTTCATATGTTCTGGCTGGCCTGTGTCCTGTCTTGCTCTGGCCAGCACTACCTCTGTTCCCCTTCAGCTCGGCTCTCCAGAACCTGAGTCTCCCTTGTTTATAAGTATGATCAGTATTCAAGTATACTCAAGCCCCTAAGTACTATCAGTTTCTAGTCCTTCCCAATTCTCCACTCCCCTTCTTGTATCTTTGCTCCCCATAATACTGAGAGAAGCAAATGCATTTTCATCAGTATCATGGAGAAATGGAAGGAGCACAGAAATCTGGATGTAGACGGTCCTTAAAAAGGGCAGCTGTGATTATAATTAGATAGGATCTTAGTGACTCCTCCTCAGTCTTCCTTTCGGGTAAGGGTCAGAACCTCCCTGGATTAGGCCATAACAAAGACTAGTAGGCCTTGGCCTGACAATAAACATGGCAAAAACAGATGGACCCACAAGGCATAGGGATATTGACATGTCTCATGCACCAGGGCTGGCACTACTGAAATTCCTAGAAAACAACTTGTGGGTAAATAGTGAGATGGAAAGAAAGGCTAGAAAGTTGACAGGGACAAAATCATTCATCCAATCAATTCATCCAAAATATTCTAAGCTAAGTGCCGGGCACTATAAGAGACACTGAGTGAGAACACATAGAGCAAGCACAAATCTCCATCTTCTGGAGTTTGACTCTAGAAAGCAGAGTGAGAAAACACATAAGGTGCTTGTTGGAAGAGGTCAGTCCTGGTCTGAATTCTGCTTCTACAATTGACTACTTCTAAGACTTTGGGGCAGCAACTTCGCCATTGTGCATGGACGTAACCACAACTGCTTAGCAAAGCAGACGGATAGGCCAACTCTGACTTGGGTACAGGGACCTGTGCAGCCCTTGCCAGGAGGAACTGACATTTAGGAGGTGATGATGTGGTGGAGGCAGTAAGAACTCTTTTGTTTACCATACTTTGGAGCCAAAAGACCCATTTCCCAGTTCTTTGATTCCAGAATGTGCCAGGTCATCTGTGCTGAGTGACATTTTGACAAAAAGTTAAGTTGTCTCTTTACAGTGAGTCATTAACACAAAATGTATACTTTTAAAAATTTTGCCTTAAAATTTAATCTTTCAAATATCGTTCAAGTAAGCTAAGTCAATTCATAACTCTAATCTTTTAAAATTGTGGTAAAGTATATAGTATGCAAAATTTACCATTTTAATCATATTTATATGCATAGTTCAGTGGAATTAAGTATATTCACATGGTTTTGCATTCTTCTTCAGAACTTTTTCACCAACCCAACTGAAACTCTGTACTCATTAAATTCTAACTACCCAACCTCCTTCCCCAGCCTTTGGTACTTTCTGCCTCTATAAATTTGACTACTTTAGTACCTCACAGAGTAGAACTTTATAGCTTTGTGTCTGGCCTATTTCACGGGCATAGTGCCTTCAAGTTTCATCTACGTTATACCACATGTCTGAATACCAAAGTGTGTGTTTTGTGGCTGAAATAAGTGCTGGGGCTAATGGAACTATGGGTCTTACCTTCAGCAGAAAAGGTGACCAATTCCAGCAGATGACAGGATGCAGGAAGTGAGAAAATCTTGGCCAAGAGCATCTCTAAAATTATAGGCTGTACCCTTAGGGGAATGTTGGCTTCAGGCACCGTGTTTCCAGAGGTCTGTGGGACCCAGAACCAAACGGGGTGCATCGAGGATGTGAGAATTATCTTCCCTAAAGGAGTTACTCCCTGAGGGCTTCTCAGTGAACTTTAGGAGGCAGAGATGTTAGTGCCTGAAAAGTTAAGTGCTAAGCCGAGTGAGGGCTTTGTATAAACAGAACTCAACACCGAGGAAACACTGGCCATACATGATTCCACCATTAAGCCACACAAAGAAATCCTCAGACTCAGCAGCCTGTCTGCTCTCATACTGTGGTATCAGGCAAATACACTCAGAACCAGGTGGAGAAGAGAGACGCCTCCCCCTCCTCCATGGCACTGAAGCTGCACCAGGTGAGGTGGGAAGGTGCTGGGCTGGACCTGGGGGCCTCCATAGAATGCTGATTCTGCAACTGTGGACCTCTAGGAGCAGAATGACACTGATTGGTTCTAGGAGGCTTCTGAGAGATTTAGAAGCTGAAGACACCATTATTTTCCTTTGATGCAGCCCATGCCTTGGGTAATTTAGAGGGTGACAATAATGATGAATGCCACCAGGAACAATCCCATGCTCCTGACCAGCCTGAGTTCAGGTCACTTTGGGATGAGAGGGCAGTGGTGGTTCTGACAAGGTACTGAGGACTCCAGGGTTCCAGCAGCTGTACTAAGCACTTCACAAGCAGTGACATTTTGACTTCTCTCATCTACCTAAGAAGGTACAAGTGGCTACTGTCCCCACGTAACAGAGGAGAGTGAAGGCCAGAGAGGTGGAGTCATGTGCTTGCTGGGCAACTGGACCAGGGCCAGATCTTGGTGTGTCTTACTTCAGCTTGGTTGGGCAATGAGCTGACACATGACTCCTCCAGATCAGCCATAATAGTGGCCATCCTTGCCACTTTCCCAAGGGGGATCACAGAGTCCAAATATCTATTTTAACAAAGCTCTTCCCAAATCCTCTGTCCAGACAGGTCTTGGCTGTGGCCCTTCAGATCTAAGTGCTCCTCAAAGGGAAGTTCAGGGCCTGGGTTCCGCTACTCTCCCAGCAGCTCTCCCACTCCAAGCAGAGAACAGAACTGGTGCTGTGTGGCTTCTGGGATGGAGGAAATGTTGCCCTTTTCCTACTCTGGCAGCATCTGATTGTATTTAAGCTGTATCTCCAGCTGGTGCTCATACTCAGAGGCAGCTCTGAGATGGGAAAGCCCTCACCCCAAGGCTGGCTCATTCTGCAGAGCACTCAGCAAGGCTGGGGTGAACTGTGTCAGCTTGGTCCTTTCTTCCCTCCTCAACACCTGCCACCATCCATAATGCCTCTTCAGATTTCCTATTAAATGATGAAAGAGGAAGAGAAGAAGGTGGCATCTAGGAGGTAGGAAGGACACAGCAAATGTTATTTGTGCCACTAAGACATCTGTTGTTAGAATACTTGCACTGCCCACTACTCCTACTGCCAAGTGATGGAGAACTGGATCCGAGATGAATAGCCCCACACACTGCAATATCAACCTTCCTCTATGTATGCCTCATCAGTTCCCTCCAGAGACAGGCACATAGCAGGTTTTATTTTTTTGGTACCAGGGATCGAACTTGGGTCCTTGCACTTGTGAGGCAGGGGCTGGAACCACTGAGCTAAATCCCCGGCCCCATAGCAGGTTTTAATAAATATTCATCCAGTGGAATCAGAATGCATTCATCTTTTTTGCGGGGGAGGGACTCACTCATCTTTATGCCCATCTCCTCTCACAACTCTATAGCACCCCAGACCCAGAAACTGGGACCACCGATTTAAAGAGGCTGAAGAATCCCAGGAATTCCAAGAGCTCCTGTAAACTAATGGTGCTGGGTGGGTTGGCAGACATCCACAACAGAGGCGGGACTAGGGCCAACGCACATCCGGTCTAGCTGGGATGGGAGTGAGTTGGACTCTTGGTTCATGAAAAAATAATCTGAAAGTGCCCTAGGCTGGTCTTGCGCAGGATCTGCCTCCAGGGAATGACTTTGCATTTCCAGAGGGACTTGGAAAGAGTATTCCCCATTGTCCCCATTTGTGAAAATGACCATTTTATGAAGCAAATTATTTCAAAACAAGGAGGCCAGATATGTGTCTGTATATGCATGTCCTTTTAAGGGCAATGCAATTTTCTCCAGTCAGTTCTGACCTTCAGCCGATGTGGAAATTACCTGGGATTAGCACGACACTAACAGTAGCAGAACTGAGAGTGAAGCCAGCCAGTGAAACTAGCTACCCACCCCTCCATGTTTCTTTTCCTTATACTATGAGAAAACTTTTGAAGAGCCTGATTTGGTCACTTATTGCAAGGGCAGCACCTGTAGAGGAGGAGTCAGATGTCCAGGGTTTAAGTTCTGGGTCATCCAATGATACCTGTCATGTCTGCCCCACTGGAAGTTTGTGAGACTCAAGGGAGAATATGTAGATTGAAATCCTTGGTAAATATCATGTGTTCCCATCAGTCATATTATACATATTTGTTTGGCACAGGGGCAGATATGAAGGGGAATGTAAACACTCATTTCACTACACTCCTTGGAATAACCTTGACTTTACAAATTCCATTAAGTTGCCACCTCCCACCCTGAGATATCCAAGCACCGTCTACTTCTACTGTGATGCCACTAGCCTCTATGACATGGCTTTCCATGGCCCTAGTTCATTACAGAAAAGAGTTTTCTGAAGGCCTTCTATTTTTCTTTGTGCTTCTGCTAAGCTTTTCCAAGGAGCATTGCTTTCTGGACTGGGATATAGGACATTGCTGGATTCCACTCTTCCTTTGCTTTCGTCTGCACAACATCACCAGTGGTAAGTGCCACCCATGTGACTGTACGTATGAGAAAGTGGTTGGGGACCTGCCCCACCCTTCAGCCACTCCCCAGAAGCTCCACCAGATAGATCCAAAGGAATCAGCTGGGATCTAGCTTGTGGCCTGCAGTAATGCCACACGGGACTCATTTCTAGGTCACTTGTTTGGCAGAAAATTAAATTAATTGAACAATTTGTCCCTGTCATTCATATTCTTCAAGTTCTTCTCTGGAAAAGGAAATAGGGATTTTTCTGTATTATAGATAGTATTCATCAACCAGATATTGGTTCTTTGGAAATGGTTGTTTAGTGTTCTGCTCAACCTTTCTGCCCGGTTTTCAATGTGTACTTCAGCCTGGCTCTACCCTTCACACTAATTCCTGGGCTGCGTGTAATCACGTATTGTAACATTCAACCTCTCCTTGGTCTCCAGTGTATTCCAGTTAATGATAATGATCCCAACTTCCATTTCATGTCACCTTTTATTGTGCATCCCTGAAACATTCAGCCCTACTGGAACAAATGTAAAGTGAAGTGCAGGACCACGAGAGGAATTTGCTGCAATTTATTGGAGTCATATTTGGCTGAATTTGTGTGGCATAACAGTCTTGAACATGCATTCAGTTCCCCATTACTGCATGTACAGGAATGTTTCCTTTAACTGAATCAGGGACAAGTTCTTTGATTGAATACATCTGAGAGACAAGTTGTTCAATTGCTTTGAAAACACTAGGTCTTTGCCCTAGAGCCAGGCTTGTGTTCTCACAGCGTCCTATCCTGGGCACCGAAGACGGCAACAGTGACCTGGAAAGAGGAGCGGAATATTAGGGAGTGTGTTGTGGGCAGTCCCAGAGGCCTCTGCCGAGATCTTTGCATCTGAAAGGACATTTGAGAACTTTTTCAAAGCCATTTCTATCTATCCAGAGTATTAAGTAGCTCTCAAACTCAGGGATGGTTGACAGAACCAGGGAATTTGGTCTAAGTTGCCTGTAGACACTCCAGTAACACTGAAAATCCCATTCGAAACCTTTGCCGGGCAGGATTGCAGCCAGGGCCTGTGAATATTTGGGCGAGGGGATCTGTAACTTAAGCCCACCTTATGGATTCCCAGTGGCCTGGGAAGGGAGATCTAGAGGGAGGTGTGGGAAGAAAAATATAAACAGACACAGACTTTAATTGAACAAGGCACAGCCTAAATCTCTTCTTTCACTTTTCTTTGTAATATTATCAGAATGGAAAGTGTGTGGTTGATTGGTCAAAGCTGAACTTTGAGGGCTGTTGACAGCTTCTGCTATAAGAGAGTTCCCCAGGTACCCTCTAGAGTTTGCTGGGCAGTGCTGTCTTTGTGCAGGACTGTTGATGTTATATTTATTTTTAAATAATTGAAATTAAAGTTAAAAATATTTGTATGCTTTTAGGAAAATTTTCTACTGAAGGTGAAATAGCCCTCCAATTTACAGTACATTCGTTCATTCCTTTGGAAGTTTATTTGTGTGAATTTAAAAGAGAATTAATTTGAAGTATGAAAGAAATGCAACCATGGCAGCGCTGAGATGTCTTATTTCATTCTATCAACCAAATCTTAAAGCCACCCTTTATCTTCCCAAGGCCTCTGATGTCTTCTTTTTACTTTCAGCAAGTGAAACTCTTTGAGGTTCTGTTGTGAATAAAACTGTAAACATGTCCCCTTTCTGCTTCTCCTAAGTCAAGCATCTGGAGGAATTAAGGAACATTAACTTCTTCCCCACATCCTGGCTCATCCGGGTTACAGCCAACCATTACCATACGGTGAGTCGACTCGGAAGGGAAACAATTATCCAAATCCATTGCCTGTCTGACTGCTTTTCCTGGAGATGTGGCTCACATTTGTTTCCTTTGGGCCTTTTTGAGGTCAGGACCTATCTGGATCTTCCTTCAGGGGAAGCAAGGAAAGCTGAACCTGAGAAGGGGAAGAGGGAAGAGGCCCAGCCTTGTAATCTAGATGTTTAGGGCATCTGCTTCGCTGGTCTGGAGAGTTGGATGAAGTGGAGTAGCCCCTTCATATTCCCACCAAGCGGAGTCCCTGCCAGACACAATGCACCATGTGCTTACTATTGAAAATTTTTGAAATCCAAAGAAATAAAGAAGATACTCCCAGACCCACTACTCAAAGATAGCCACTGTTAACATCTCATTGTATATATTAACTTTTATTTTGGTAGCAGGGATTGAACTCGGGTCCTTGTGCTTGCGCAGCAGGCAATGAAACCACTGAGCTAAATCCCCAGCCCCTTAACTTTTAATTTAAAAAAATGAATATAAAATATTCAATTAAATTCACTTCCTAATGCCATTTTTAATGGCTGTGAACTTTTCCACCAAGAAGATGTGACATAGCCAATTCTACTTTATCATTCAATAAATATGGTAAATGTTTACATTTTTAAAAATGTATTACAAAAACAAAATAAAACAAACAAACAAAAAAGTATTACAGTAAAAGAGATTGCCAAGAATGATGGGATTACATGTGTTCAAAGCTAGGGGGAGTGTTTTGAGTATTTTTAGAGAGCTTAATGGCAATGTGTCTTTAACCATAATAAAATTTTTAATTTAAACATTCAGTATATTTTAGGATCACCTCTCCTTGATCAAATGTTTATAGCAGTTTTTGTCAAATAAAAACACTATGATGTGTCCCCATCTACCATATTCACTGGATCTGACACAGTACAACTTCTGGCTCCTCCCCAAAGTCAAGATGACCATGAAAAATAAACATTTTGAATCAGTTCAGAATATTAAAGCAGCCATGACTGGACAACTATAGATACTCACAAAATAGGACTTCCAGAACTGCTTCAGAAAGTGGCAAGAATGATGGGATAGTTGTGTTCAAAGGGAGAGAAAGTCTTTTGAAGGGGATTAATAGCAATGCGTCTTTTACTGAATTTTTAAAAATTTAAACATTTGCCATATTTTTGATCACACCTCATGTGATGTTTCTAATTGTTTACTTTTAAAATTGACATTAAGGGAAACATCTGTTCACATGATTGTTTATTTTACTATACTTTGAATGATTTTGTTATAGAAGATTCTTAGCAGTAGAAATGCTGGCACTAAAAGGAATGTGTATTTTTGTTCTTGATACATATTAACAAATGTGGGGACCAAATTATTCTTCCCCCAGAGATAAATGAGCTTGCCTCACTTTGTACATCCTCAGCCATGTAGAGCATTTTAATTTCAAATGACTTTTGTTAACTGAGAAAGGAACAATGGCATCTCATTTTTTATCACACATTTCCTTTATTATAGTAAATATGAATATTTTTCTGTGCAGCATGTCTGGCTTTGTGAATTGTCTATGCAAGCTGTCATAGTTCTTAAGTGTTTCCCATCATGCATTTTTAGAGATCAAATAGGACAATGTTTGAGTTCTGAAGATGCATGAGTCATTAGTTAAAATTCAACAAGCTCAACAAATACCTATTGTAATGTGCAAACCAGTTCTCCAAGCTCAGTGCTTCCTTCACATTAGACAGTGAATCCATGGAACGGTGCTTCTCTGCAACATAACTCAGAACTATGCTACAACAGAACAGCAAAACAGACAGCCTGTGTGGCTGACAGCTCAGAAAGTCCTCCACCTCCCTCTCCTGGCCTTCCGGCCCTGCCCATCTCCTTCCTCTTCTCCCCTGCAGCCAATACCATCCTGCCAACATCTGCTCCCTCCACTCCCAGCCTTCACCATGAAGCCTACTGTGTGGGCCTTGCTTGTTCTTGACTTTATCACCATAGTCTTTCTCTGCCTCATGATTGGTCATGATTCTATTTCCCTAGCGGAACTTTTCAGGTGCTTTTCTTTTGCTCCTCTCTACATGTTCTGAAAGCATTGAGCATAGTACCTGGTACATAGTAGGTTTTCAATAAATGCTTGTTGATCAGATGAACAACTGAATGTAGGGTCTGGAGAGAGAACTCTCCTCCCAGTACTGTGGGGGTGGGGATTCAGGAGGCGACAGTGGGAGATGACAAGAGGGGCTCCCTTCTATGCCTTGGGTTATTGGTAAGCTGTGTGCATTTCCCTTTTAGCTGGAGAATGGAGGCGACATGGTCCACCTGAAAGATCTACTCACCCAGGGTGTGAGGATTGGGCTGCTCTTTAACAAGGTACTGAAAATGACCCAAACAAAGGGAAACACCCTCTCCCATTTCTTCTGTGCCCAATTAAGAATGCCTAAAGGGCCGCCCGTGATCACTCTTCACTTGTGAAACTCACAAGACATGTGTCTGGGACAGGCCACTCAATAATCTAATGTGTGTGCCCCAGATTTTCCCATCAACTCTTCTAGTTTTCTCAGGATGAAAACTAAAACCAGGAAAGGCCTGGGAAAGCTATGATGGGTTAATCACCTTATTCCGCACAAACATCAACAGCTACTAACTGGCTCAACAAGCCACCACTCCATATGCAGAGTGAAGGTTTCAGAATGAGTTCATTCTGGGCAGCTATTTTGAGGGATTCGAGACTCAAGCAGCAGTGGGTCATAGACAGAGCTCCAGTGCAAAGCATCTCAGCATTCAGTCCCAGGGGAGGGTCTGGGTTTGGTGGCTGTGCTATCTCAGATTCCTTATGATAGGCACAGTTCTCCAAGAAGTTGCTGCTCTCCTTTGACTTCTTTAAAGGTACCCAACACAGTGCTGATCTCAGAAGAATTCATGTTCTGGGAGCTCAGGATCCTGAATCTATCATTCAAGAAACTGAGTGGGTCACCCCTCTAGTTGCAGAAATGCATCTCAGTAGGTAGACTATACATTGTGGGACCAGGGATTATTGCACATACCATGAATATGAAGAGTCTCTTAAGCCTATCAAATTGAAACAAAGTGCTGTGAAAGATCTGCAGACCACAAGTCATATAGTAATATACCTAACTGATTCTTTTCCTCAATGAGGAATATGCAGAGTAAATAATATTGTCACCGCTAAGTAACAACTTCTAACTATCCTGTTAGTAGTAGTATACAAACCTGCTGTATTAGTCAGCTTTCCCATCACTGGAACATAATACTCAATACCACAACTTAAAAGAAGCTCGTGTTTTAAGGAGGTCCCATCCAAGGCAGGCTCCAAGGCAGAAACTTCATGGCAGAAGGGCATGGTGGAGCAAATGCTGAATTCATGGCAGTGAGGAAACAGCAGAGGAACGGTGCCAGAAAGGAATAGGTAAGGGACCATATATAGTACCAAAGTCACATCTCTGTGACTCATCCAGACACCCAAGAGCATGCTTTGCTAATCTGCTAGGCCAGTTATGGAGAACCTTTTAAAGGCTGAGTGGCCAAACTGCAACCCAAATTCCACTTATTTATCACAAAGTACCAACACTGCAATTAAACCTGAATGCTGAGGTTTTAGTTTAGAAAAAACAACTCATAAGTTAACATCTTTTATCTTAAAAGAAAAACACAATAACAGAGCTTTCAATGATATAAACAGCTTTTTACTGAAAGGTAAAAGTTTGCATTTGGTGTGCTTTTGCACAATTAATGTGATCTTTGCTGTTGTATGCTGTTATTTGTCAAACTTTGGCTCACACTTTGTTAGTTTGGGAGCAACACATGCAGCACTCAGATTATCTGTCAGTCTGTTTCTTGTATCAGATTTGATATAATTCAAAGCTGAAAACAGCTGCTCACAAGCTTAAGATGAGCCAAACAAAGTAAGAAAGGCAATCCCAAGTGCTTTAATTGACTTAAAATTATTTGGCAGAGAATTCCACACTTTAAGGATTTCATTCTCAGCACTACCCACTGCGCTGTCCTTTGTCATCCCCTTACATTCTAGTATCTCTGTCTTTTCAAGAGTTGCACATGGGTCATAGAATTTATTTTTTCCAGATAGAGCTTTCTTGAAATTCCAATAGCTTGATTTCTACATTTCTAAAATCTAACCAGTTTAAGCAGGAAAGGTCAAGTTCTTCAAATTTGACTTTATCTACTAAAATAAGAAAGCACAGGGTTGTCTCCATCTTACAGCACTGTAAAAATCTGTTACTAAAATTCTCCTTTGCAGCTGCTACAATGCTAGAAAATTCCTTGTAGATTTCCTGATGGCTTGTAGGATTGTCTTCAAATGTTGCAGAATTTTCTAAATACATTTTTAGATTTGGAAAATATTTCAGCTGCCCACTTTCAATGTCTCTTTCAAAAACCTGCTGTTTTCTCTCAAATATTTTGATATCACAAAACATTCTTTCTGCTGTTTTCCCTACACCTTGTAATTTTTTTTTTAGTACATTGAAGTGTAGTGTAAAATCTGTAAAACAAACAAAAACCATGAGATTGCTAACCCAGGCCATATCAGTGAGCTATGGATATTCCTGCCCTTTTTCATTCATAAACAGCCTAATTTCATCCAAGCAAATCTACAAATCTCTCAAGGACTCGTCCTTTGCTCAGCCACCCCAGACATTATTGTACATAAGTAAAGAATTATGCTGGGCCTGAACCTTATCAAGGAGTGCTTGAAACTGTCAAAAATTAAGAGCATGAGCCATGATGTAATTCACCATTTTTGTGACATCTTTGAGATTATCATCTAATTTTTTGCTGCTTTTCCTGGCACAAAGAGCTTCTTGATGTATAATACAATGAAACTGAATGACTGGATGATTTGCGTCTTTAACAAAGAATTGTATGAAGCCAGGTGTTGCCCCAACCGTGCAAGGTGTTCCATCACTAGTAATGGAAACCACTTTTTCTGGTCTTATGCCTGTGACCAAAAAATCCTCCATCACAGCTGTGTAGATATCTATCCCTTCTTCTTCCAGGCAAAGACACCAGTTTCACCAGCTCTTCTCTCATGATGTCACCAAGTGCATAAGGCAAAATTATTCCTAGCCTTCCATGATTATTTACATCTGTGCTTTCATACAAGCACATGGAGTAACAGGCTGCCTTCTGTAAGTCAGTGGTGAGCTGCTGACTAACATCACCTGCCATGCGCAGGACTCGATCTTTAACAGTATTTCTGCTAAGTGGCATCTCAGAGATGTGTTGCATTATTTTATCCTTGTTTGGGAAATCATGAAAAATGGAATCACTCCCAGACAACATAGCCATTTTGATAAAATCTCCATCAGAGAGGAGCTTACATGTTTTGCTATGCACAGTGAAATTTGAAAGCTGGCAGCTGGCAGATGATTTGTTTTAGAAAGATAGTTGCAAAAACTAAGATAGTGGGAATGATATTTCCTCAATTTCGCTTCAGACGCTTTCCTTTCAGTGTCACCAAATTCAGCAACACTTTTGTGCTTAGTGTCAAAATGTCATCTGACCCTTGACATGCAACACACAACACTTTCACTACACAGAATACATAACACTTTCTCATTGCATTCAGTAACTCCAAATGACTCTGTCCAGGCCTCTTAGAATGATCTTCCACTATCTGTTTTCAGTTGTACTTTTCTTGCTGTCACAATGTGTTGGTGTTCAAGACTTGGTGGAGTCTATAAAAACACAAAATGTAAAACCAAAAATGAAACACTTAATACAAATCTATTCCTATACTAAAAAGAGCTAACACTATTAGTTAACGCTAAAGAATTGAATATTCCCTAAATCAACAATCTATGGCAGGGATTCTCTGGGTTTCCTCTTGAATTTACTGACCATCGGTGCAAGGGGGCAATGTTCCACTGAGCACCAGTTTTTGGCCTGCTCTGTAAAAGGCACCTGAGTGCATTTCCTACCTGGTGGGGGCTTCTGCTAAAAATCACAGCCAGTTCGAGCAAATATATATATCCTTGCTCTTGTATTCATAAATTCTTCACAAACAATGAATTATGATGCTCCAGATTAAAATACGCCAGGAGGACAGCACAACGTTAAAAGAATCTCAGTCTCTTAATTAGAACATCTCTTTGCTAATTCTTAGATATTAAATTTCAATTTTTCATGAGAAAACTCAAAGCTAAAGTCTTGTGTTAATAAAAATGAATGTATTAAAATGCACAGCCAGTACAAGCATACAAGCATGCATATATATATATATATATGCATGCTTGTATGCTTATATATATATGCATACTTGTATGCTTATATATATGCATGCTTATATGCTTATATGTATACATATATACATAATATCCTTGGCAGCACTCTGACTGGTCACACAAAATCTTGAAGGAGTCACAGCTCATGAGTCATGGCCCATGACATCATCGCCTGGTGCTGCTACTCCTTTCCAAGCATGTACATGGCTCCTGTGTGTGCTGTTTTTGGATGCTTGGCTGCTGGGCTGATGCTGGGGTGACTTGGCTTGTGTGCTGGCAGAGAGGGCTCTATGTGCCCACTGCAGCATGCATGCCATAGGTTTGCCAACACTGTACTAGGCATTTCTTAATCCACTAAAGTTGACAAATCAGGATTAATGGTCACACCTGACAAAAATTGAAGCCATTACAATTTGGCTCTTCCTACACTTTCTAGGATAAAATTATTATTGCATCTTCTCTTTTAAGTCAGTTATCAAATGAGTCACTTTTGTTGTCAGTAGAATTTGTTTTGCTATGTTCTCTTCCCTCTAACTCCTGAAGATTTTTCCAATTCATTTTGTTGTTTCTATTTTCCAATGTAGGAATATACCACTCATTCAAAGATGGTTTCTGTATATGGATTCTTCTTTGAGTTAAAAGGAATCAAACATGATACTACCTCTTATAGTTTTTACATGCAGGTAAGAAGGATGGAACACAGAAAAAGTATGTCTCTGAAACAGATATTTAGATTCAATTGACTCTTTGAGTTAATAATAATTGATTAATAATCAATTCATAATTTATAAGAACTGTGTTATAAGTGCTATTTACGCTTATATATGTACTGTCATTTAACTTTTACAACCACTTTTGGAGGTAGGCATTGGTAGCTGATAAGGATCTCAACATTGAATGACTTTGTGTTCATAAGGCCTCTATGGGTAAATCATGGTTTAATTCCAGTCTTCTGACTTCACATCTGAGGGCCAATTAATCTTCAGTTTGTATAGATGGGCAACATTATATAGATGGTCATTCTTCTATGGAGGTAATTCATAGTGCCCACAAGTTGGAGAAGGGATGAGCCTATTTAGAGTGGCATAGCAGCCAGGGATTTAGCTTAGTGGTTCTGCCGCCCTCCTCCCAAGTGCAAGGACCCGAGTTCGATCCCCAGTACCAAAAAAAAAAGAGTGGCATAGGCATAGCAGCATGATGGATGGGACACTTGAGAAGTCAGAAGTGTGGATGACTTCAGGGACATAATAGAGTTGCTGTCAGACTGCCTGGCAAGACCTCAGCAAGTTCCGAGAACATCTCATCTTTACAATGGAGACAGTAACAGGACCCACTTCACTGGGTGATTGTGAGTATTAAACATGTTTGTTTCTGCAAAGGGCTTGAAACAGGCCTGACACAGAAAGCACTATACGCTTGTTTTTTGTTTTGTCTTTTGTTTGGTGCTGCAGATTGACCCCATGACCTCGTGCATGCTTAGCTTTTGCTCTACCACTGACCCACAGCCCAAGGGCAACACTATTGTATTAGCTGATGATGGTGATGATGATGACAATCTCACTGACAACTATGATCAGGGATTGTTATGCTCCACTTAGGATTTGCTTAGAAGTCTTTCTTCTGCAAAGTGTAATCTCCCTGGGAAACGATATCACATTCATCTTTTTTATGACCACTGCCATCCTCTGTACCTGAAACCGAAGGGTTCTTTCACAACTGGTTGAATGAATGGGTAAACAAATGCATGACCAAGTGATGAAACCCGAGTTTTAGTTCCAGCTTTGCCACTACCTTCAAAGGGACAAAGAAGAATTAATATGTGTTATGCACATATGCAAACTCCCCTCGATAAATGTAATCATTATGTATTTCCACTACCTTCTAATGCACCCTGGAACAAGTCACTTTTTTCCTTTTTTTTTTTGTCACTTCTTTTCCTTGGGCCTCCATTCTTGGCTGCCTGTCACTGAGGTATCTCCCACCGAATAGGTTTTACTGTATGAGAGAGATGAATTATGTAATAGCATTTATCATAAAGCCCATGTGAAGACTGTGTTAACACTTTGGTTCTAGCAAAGAAATGAAAGTGAGGCTTGACTTGATGATGTTTTTCTGGGTTGGCCAAACCGCAGTCCTCTGGCCATTGATTTGTGTACGGTGAAGTCTCAAATGGCAGTGGTCTCAGTGATGGCCCTCAGGAAATGATGACATTAGAGAAATACCCTCTTCTGTCTCTGCACACGAGACAGAAAAGACTCTGCTAGGTGCTGGGTTTTACTAACTCTGGGCACTCCGCTCACAGTTCCTCTTGGGATAGGTCACCACTGTCTTTGCAGAGAATAAGACACACAGACTTGGAGTCACCCTCTGCAATCTCTGAGCACAGCACTGTCAGCCTGAGAGCAGAGCGCTTGGCGAAGTATGAGATCAGAGCCCAGGCCCTGGTGAATGGCAGGTGGCAGGAGTTCAGTACCAACCAGATCACACAGAAGTTTGGGTTCATCAAGCCACACTGCAAAAGCCACGTAAGCATTCATCTTTGTCTCTCTGTCTTTTCTTTTTTCTTTTTCTTTCTTTTCCTTTTTGCTCCTTTTCTCCCTCAGTCCCTTTGGGGAACCCCTGGCTTCAAATTGCAAAGAGGAGCTTGCTCCATTTCTTAAGGATTATGATGGCTTCAAAACATACTAAATAGAAACCTTCCAGAATTAAAAGCTGGGGACATTGATAACTATAACCCAAATTATACCGCCTAATGAGATGCACATCGGATCAATGTTATAAATGTCAAAGGGTATCTGTGTGTGTGTGTGTGTGTGTGTGTGTGTGTGTGTGTTTTAGGGGGCTCCCTGGGGTATATTTGCTACCAGCACCTCCATTGACACCTATAGGTAACCCATCACTTCCCTTCAGTCCATGGCCTGGGCTACCTGCCCTGCTCCAATTCATCAAGGAGGACTGAGCATAATGACTATGGGGTGGCACCAGCACCCAGGCAGATTCACCCAGGCCTGGCTTCTCACAGCCCATCCCGAAATGGCCAGGGAGCCCAGGAGGAACTCTGGGCTGTGAGTTCAAGGACGTCTAGGGCCTCACCAGGTGCCCTGCAGGGAAAGGGACCGTACCATAGACCAGTGAGCCCTTCTCAGTCCTGACTGCATATCAGAATCACCTGGGCCCCGAAACACTCCTGCTGGAGCATCTCCCAGATCACCAGGGCGGATGCTTCCTGGAAGGGCCTGTGTTACTGTATTTTTGAGTGTTCGCAGGTTACTTCTTCTGATATCAGAAGCCATAATAACAGTTTCCTTGGTGAAGTGAGGAGAGAGGCTGGGATAGGCCTTGGAAGGACCGTAAAGGTGACTTCTGAGAGCTGGAAATAGCCTTCACCCTGATCTAGTGATGTCTGTACAGATGTGCTTCTCTTGTGAAAATGCTCAAGCTGCACCCTTGACCTCTGTGTTCCTTATTGTATTTAAATTATGCCTAATTTTTAGAAGATTTGTTTAATTCCTTCCCTAGACAATTCTGAAGTACAGCTAGGGTTGGGAACCACCAAGACATAACTTGTGTTCTCAACTTACAAGTGCTATCTGTTTTGTTTTGTATTTTAGGTCTTGCAAAGTCCAAAGTGTGGGCATCCCAGTCTACGCAAGCTTTGTAATTATCTTCCCAGTATCTTGACAGTTTCCAGAAGAATCTATGGGATGTCCCCCTACCAGTCTGCATAAAAGGAAATAAAATGACATCAGAAGAGGAACTCCACCGTTACTGTCCCAGTTACCAGTGGTCTTATTAGAAATTTTGCCCACATCTGTGTCCCTTGAGGATGGAAGGTGCCACAGCCACAAGTCCACTAGCCATCCTTGACCCCAAAGCACCCTGACTCCAGCCTCTGAGGAGGTCATGGGTGGGGGCACTTGCGAATCAATGGGAGCTTCAGTATTTCCCCTATGCTACAGCTGCACCTGCTACACAGAACAACACTCCTGGCCATTGCCCCTGGCAGCTGTGACTCAACAGAACAAGAGATAAGACCGGAAGGAAGCAACTATAAGGCACAGAGTGATTTATTTTATCTATCATCCCACTTAGGCACTGGACACACACATAGCCTCTCAACCTCCCGGGAGGCAGGGCTATTTCTACACCTGTCCCCAGGAGAGTAATGTGTGTGTTCCTACAAGATTTTTTGTAGTGTCCTAGCCAGGGACCTGTCAGTTTCCATTCTCCATGTGGCCCACTGAAAAGAGGCAGGATCTCACCTGCCATCTGCAAAAACGACATGTGAGTCACAGCTCTGCTACAGGCCAGCTGCCCGGTGCCAGTCGTGTGACAGTTCATCGGATTCTGATGGGGCAGTGGGAAAGGGTGAGGGTGGTCTCTCTGAAGAGGTGGCACAGAAGTGAGCCTGGAAGCACAAGCAGTGTCCTTACAGGGAAGATGAGGAGGAAATGGACACAAGGTGATGTCCACACAGCTGAGAGAAAGTTGTTTCCAGCTCCAGGGTTCCTGGACTGAGTGTGCATCAGAATCCACCTGGAGTTCATGCAAATGCAGGCCCTGGGCCAGGCCCACAGAAGCTGAGCTTGCAGTCTGAGAAACACATAGGAGTATGCACTTTAACAGGCTTCCCGAGGAATCCTGATGCAGGAAGTCTGTGGCTCACGTCCAGAAAGGACCCTGATGGGAAAGCGGATTCCACAGCAGGCCTTCTCTTTGGGCTGCACACATCCAATAGCCATTCTCACCCAGTGCCCAAAACTCAGCAACAAACCTGTGAATCTATTTCGCCACAGCCGAAATAGCTGATTGGGAACAACAACAACAACAATGAAAAACAAATTTCCTAGAATATGGAATAAACAAAACCCCAAATAATGAGCCATCTTCGGCAGGTGAAATATTTGTTGTATTTCTGAAAATTCAGCCCTTTCCACTAGAGGCCATGCTCTATCTCAAAAATGAGAATTACTGTAGCTTTCCAAACGCTGAAATCTGAAACCTAGAACTCATCTCCTTGCTTAGGTTTGAAAGTGAAATCCATACATCCTGAGTGGGTTGTGTATTCAGTGTACACAACCACTGCTATATGTCTTAAAACAAAACTGCTTTAAGAAGCCCTTTAGAAGCTTTTCTTACAAGTGAGAGATTCTTAAACTAGAATTTCTAGAGCCACAGTCAGTGCCCAAGCATTGGCTATGAGCACTGAACAAGGTAACCTTACGTGCCATGTTCCTAACTCCTTTCTGCTTGCTTCTCCCATCACTCACCTCCCAGGCCCTTCCCTCTAGCTGAGTTGTCCCAGAATCCCCTCTGTACACAGCAACACTTGAGTTTTAGAGTTGGACTGACCCGAGTTTGAGTCCTAGCCATGCCTCAGGTTCTTTTCCTCCTTGGGGCCTGCTGTCTGTTATGCAACCCAAGGAGGTTGGGCTGATACAGGATATGATAAAGGAGATGAAATATGACAATATTTTGTCTCCCAACCTGGTAGATGTCTGATATGCCAAGCTCGTGTTCTCTAAAACTTGAGGAATGAATTCTAGGAACAGTGAAAGCTCCTGAGAGGCAGGAGGGGTTCCAAAATGATAGCCAGGGACCCCACTTTACAGGGGTGTTTTATAGAGCCAAACACACGTGGGTACAATATATATACAATATAGTTATGATCACCTAGCAAGGTTACAAATATAGTCGCTTAGGTAATAGTAGTCCAATTTGGAAACAAGTCATGTAACAAGTGTTGATGGAAAGAACAAAGACTTCCTCTAGGAAATGAAGGGTCTAGAGGTAACTACGGTGACTGATGTCTATCTAGACTTCACTAGGCCCAGTGTTTGTCCTTTTAGAAATTACTCAGATTTGGTCATTTAGTCTTTATCTTGAGGCCTGGTCTCCAGAAAATGTGTCTCCAGCCACAGTGGTGATGTATTTTTACCTTTGCCCTGACTCTCTCAAGGGCCTAGCTCTATCTGACTACCCACAATACTTCTAACTAACTTAGCTGTCTATAATAGGACCAGGGGCTCTCTGCAAGCCTTTCTAGCTGCAGGCCTCGGATCCTCTCATTGTGTGGGTGAAGAGCAGAAGTGAGTGGTTCAGCCTGTGAACCAGGAAGAGGCAGCCCGAGGGAGTGAACTGAGTCATTTTCCCAGGGGTTCATCAGAATGAGAGTGCATTAAGAAGAGTAAGAAAGACGCTTCCGTTCTCCCCATCTTTACATCCTGGAGACCACTGTGTCTTGAAGTTCCAGGAGGAGAAGGAATGTTCTTGCCTTTGTAAGCCTAGGATGGAAAGGAGAGTGCTGGGCTTGCATGTTCTTTGGGAGAAGGGTGGGTTCTCAGGGACCATGGGGAGTTCCAGGTTGCCCTCACTTGCACAAAAGGAGATGGGCATAAAATGTGGAGTCCTGAGGCCTTGAAATCTTGAGGTGGGGAACAGGGTCCTCCTGGAGGAGACAGAGATGGGACGACTTCTGTGAGGAAGATCTGGAGGCAGCCCTAGCCAAGAGAACGTTCTGTGATGATGGAAATGCCCCATACCTGCCTGTCCAATATGGTAACCTCTAGCCATGTATAGCCATTAAGTGACTGAAATATGACTAGTGCAACAGAGAAGTTGTTTTTAATTCTATTTCATCTTACTGTATGTAAATTTAAATAGTTGTAAGTGCAAGTAAAAAGAATAGGACAGCACGGTACTCACCATGGAACAAGGACTGGTCCTTCTTGATTCTGCAGGCTCTCCAGGGTTGGAGCCTCTCAGCCTGTCCCCAGGCCCTGGATGAATTGAACATCAGTGTCCATCCTGAGGCTCAGACTCTAAACACTCCAAGTCTTTTTCTACCCCACTGGGATAAGGCCACCTCCTAGGGTCAGGGAGAAGCTGTGCTGGAGAAAGGAAGGTTCCAAGGCCAGGGAAGCAGAGTTCAGCTCTATATCAGTGGTACCATCATTACCCTGCTCCTTCTATGTGAGCAGAAGACAGTCCCTGCCATCAGAGAGCCAGTGTCAGGGAAAGGCAGTTGTTAATGGAGTAATTACACTAAAAGATGCAGAGCTTGGAGGGTGTAAAGTAAATTTGAACTAGACCCTTGTAGGGAGTTTGAGGCCCAGTGAGGGCCCTTCCTAGGGAAAATGATGCTTAAGCCAAGATCTGAAGTAGGAAAGGGAATTAGGACAGCCTTACGTGAGGATGTGAAGAAATCAAAATCCTTGGACCCTGCTAGTGGGAATGTGAAATGATGTTGCTACTTTGAAAAACTGGTGGTTCAGGGGTAGGATAAAAGATATACAGAGATAGAAAGGAGACAAGGGAAACCATAAGCTTAACATTGTACTTTAAAGAAAAACTCCAGCTTCAGAATGCAAGTTACCCAAGATCGCAATGCTTTTTTCCCTTCTAGGAAACCTACTCCAAAAATCCCTAAGGGTCTTGAAGAAACAACAAGCCTATAAATTGGGTCTTGGACCCATGTTTTTCACCTATAATTTGCTTTCTACCACAGACTTCCCTCCTCAGGGAAGCAACCTATTAAGTGAGCAGCAGATCTCTAAACTTCAAGCACGTGCAAATGGTGCTTAGCCCACCAAATGGGTAGCCTGATGGTAGGAATACATATCCTAGATCACTCATCTTAAAGACACCCCCTAAGAGAACATAAAAATTCCTAACCCCAGACCACAGCGCAGCTCACTCTAGGAGTACTCACACTATACTTTGTACTTCTTTCTGCTTAATAAATGTCTTTATGCCTCTCACTGATGTGTCTTGAAAATTCTTTTTATGTGACAGGGGTCCACAAACCTACAGCCTACGTTGTGGGTGGGATGAGTTGAAGGCCCCATCTCCTCTTTGGGGGACCTCCTCAAACTCCTCTTGTGTCGGTTCCTCAAATAATTAAACATAGAATTACCATGTAATCCAGCAATTCACACCTAGGTGTATACCTGAAAGAAATGAAAACAGGTCCACACAGAAACTTGCACATGAATGTTCATAGTAGCAATACTTATAAGAGCCAAAATGTAGAAACAACCAAATGCCCATTAATGGATAGATGGATACACAAAATGTGATTTATCCATACAATACAATCGAGAAGGATTCCATCTTAAAAATAAATGACGGGGGCCGGAGGTGTAGTTCAGTGATAGAGTGTTTGTGGTATGTGCAAAGCCTGGGTTTGGTCTCCAGGACAAAAAAATAATAATAATAATAATAGAGAGAGAGAGAAGAAAAGAGAAGAGAAGGGAAAAAAAAGACTGTTTCATGCAACATGGATGAGCCCTGAGAATATTAAACTAAGTGAAAGAAACTGGTCACAAAAACCATATATGATTCCATTATAAGAAATATCCAGAAAAGGAAAATCTGCAGGGAGAAAGATTAGAGGTTGTGTTTAGGTCTGAAGAAGACAGGGAAGGGGCAAGAGCTAAAGGGCACAGGGTTTCTATTTGATGCGATGAAAATGTTCTAAAACTATGATTATGGTCTCACAATTCTGAATATGCTGACAACCACTGACCCATACACTTGAATGGGTGAACTGTATGATATGTGAATTCTGCCTCGACAAAGCTATTGACAGGAGGGAAAGAACTTGGGTGCTAGGGAGAGGATTCCAGCCCAGATGACAACACATGCAGGGGAAGCTAGTGCCTTCCAAACACAACCCAGAGGGTCCATGTGGCCAGAGCCAACAGAGTCCCCTGGCTGGAGATGCAGGAGGGTGGGACCTCCAAGGCCCTGGAGGACATTATTGGAATCTGTTCTATGCCCTCTTGAGTCTGAGCTGGCCCTGGGCTTGCTTTGACCACTCTATTGGCCATGCTATAGCGGCAGAAATACCACACCAATTCAAGCATTTGGACATGGAGGGTACTGTGCTCTTGTGGCTTCTGCTATTGTCCTGTGGAAGCCCTGTGATGGCACAATGCCTACTTGAGGCTGAGAGGCCACATGGAGGAGAACCAAGTACCCCAGCCCAGCCCCAGCTCCATCTGCCCGATGTGTGTGAAAGGACATCTGGAACCTTCCACCGCAGGCTCCTCCCATGAAATACACCCTCAGACGTGGTTTCCAAGAAACCCAAGATGGGCTCCTGCCATGCTCAGAATTGTAAGAGATAATTCATTGTTGTTTTAAATCACTAGGTTTTGGAGTAGTTTCTTACCTAGCAAGAGATAACTGAAATACATACCCCCCCCCTTTAAAAATGGCGTCTCACTGTATTGCCCAGGCTGGTCTCTACTTCATGGGCTCAAGTGATCTTCCGCCTCAGGCTCCTAAGTATTTGGAACTACAGGTGCATGCTACTATGCCTGGCTGAAATACATACACTTTTGATTCAGCAAACTCACTTTGGGAGTTCATGTTAATGAAAACAAAATTCAGAAAAGAAGCAAGGACTTGTTTACAATGATGTTCCTGCAGTATTGTTTATAATACACAACACCAGCATGATTTGGGATGCCTAAGAGAAGAAATTAGACTGAATAGGATGCATCTGTATACTAGGGAATCCTTAAAAAGTTATCATTGACCTCACTGGGTTACTTCTTCAGAGGGGGGAATATTGTAGACAGTTAAGTTAATTCGATACCTCATAGGCAGTTAGACAGGGCCACCCTCAAGGAGCCAGAACAGCAAGGAGCTGACATGGAGAACAGTTGAGGCACATTAACTGGTTAGCATTATTAAAAAAAGAAAAGAGCAATGGGAAATTCCTTGTATGTGACTTGTTTTCCCCTTTGATCCCCATTTAATCAATATTACCTGGGGCTGGGGATTTAGCTTAGTGGTTTCGCTGCTTGCTGCACCATCACAGGGACCTGAGTTCAATCCCTGGTACTAAAAGAAATAAAATAATCAATATTACCTGGGTGACTCATAATCTTATTGGTTGGTCATAGTTTTTTCCCACCTCATGCCACCTTGTAATTTTCCATTGGGTCTTAGACTTTTGTCCCACTTTGTACCCGTCTCACCTCATGGCTTTGCTCTATAAAACACCTTTGAGAAGTGGGGTGGGTGGGCAACCTCTTTCCGGTCCCCCTCTGTCTCTCTTAGAAGCTATCTTTCTCTGAATAAATTTGTCTTACTCTTTAAAAAAGTTATTATTGAAGCACTCTAGTGTTATTGTGTCAAGAATACAGTATACTGTTAATTGGAAAAAGAAAACAATTTTTAGAGTATGTAAATATGAGTCACTTAAATATGCGTTTTCAAGTGAAATGGATGGGTCCAAAGGCTTGAGCAACTTCAATTAGAAATTGTAAAATTGCTTTCTAAAATGGACGTGACTATTCTCTTCCCACCCGCACCGAGGAGCTTTCTTGCTTAAGTCCCAGTCATTTCCTGCCAGCCTAGCCACTGCCACCATTGGTGAAGGCCTTTCCCCGATGCATTTAACTCAGGTGTGAGTTAGAGCAAAAGTGGCTTCAACATTTATTTCACTTCACAGAATTTCCTGGTTTCTCAGCCATCCAGAGACATTTTTCCCTAGCCCACTTCTCATCCAACCATAGGGGCCTATTTGCTCTTGGGCTCTGCTGGGGAGAGGGAAACTCACCGTGCATCATCATGAACAGCAAGCTGGAAGCTAGGCTTGGAGATTTGAATAGGAGGGCAGCTGGGAGGAGGGGATTGTCATGAGTGTACCAGAAAGGGCTCAGAGAGGCTGAGCACAGTGATTAACTTTTCTTTAATCTCTGCATCACTGAACAGCACAGCAATTGCCAGCTTCCCCAACAAGCTCTGCATGAGTCACTTGATGTCTTACTGGAGGTGGAGCATATTTTATTTCAGGCAGGTGCAACTGCTCATTTGCTTGCCCTTAAGTCACCCAGGAAATACATAATTCCTGCTGGCCCCTCCAACACCAACTCAAGATGGGATCAACCGTCCCTTAGTTCAAAGAAATGAAGGTTAATCTGAGTCGGTTTTTTTGGCTGGTTAAGTGCCAAAGAGATACGTCTTTCCCCTTTTCCTGGCTGTTGGATCAAGGATCCAGGTCGTACCCCTGAGTAACAGGAGGGTTAATTGAGGAAATCATTGACCAAACCACATATGAGTGTGCTGAGTGAGCAACCCTTGGACTGCCATAAAGGCTGGCACAGAGAGGAAAAGTTGGACCCTGCTGTGGCCTGCTTGGCTCTTTTCTTCTAATGTGGGTCACTTCTTGAACTGGGACAGCCTGCAGGTGTTCCTTTTGTGCTCAGACAAACACTCAGCTCTTATCCCTTGGAAGAAGGCAGCAGGAACAAAGGCCTTCCTGGCATGCTGGAGGAGCAGCAAGCATGAGGGAGGGAAGGAGGGCAGCAGGCCTTTTCTGAATTGCTGTGCCTTGTCCTCCTCTATTGTATGATCTGTTCAGTTAAGTTAGGATCGGAGAGCTCTGCATTCTATCCTTGCTTCTTCACCACTTTCTAGCAAGGTGACTCTTAGCAAATTGCCTGACTTCCCTAAGCCTGTTTCTCATCCATGCAGAGCCATTGTGGAGACAGAGTGAGGGGACACCTGGGGAGGGGTGGTAGGCAGAATAATGCCCCCAAAGATATGTGTCCTAATTCCTGGAACCTGAGACATTACTTGACATAACAAATGGGACTTTGTAGATGTAATTAAGTTAGGGATCTTGAGATGGGAAGATTATTTTGGAGTATCTAGATGGGCCTGACATACTCACAGGGTATAAGAGGGAGGCAGGAGATCAGAGAGTAGAAGGCAATAAGACAATAGAAGCAGACCCTACAGCGATGTGGCCACAGCTGGGTAAAGTGAGCAATCCCTAGAAGCTACAAGAAGCAAGATACGGGGCTGGGGATTTAGCTCAGTGGTTTCGCCACCTGCTGTGCAAGCGCAAGGACCTGAGTTTGATCTCCGGTACCAAAAAAAAAAAAAGAAGAAGCAAGATACGTATTCTCCCCTCGAGACTTCATAAGGAACCAGCCCTGCCAACATCTTGACTTAGAAAGTAGGTTGTTTTAAATGACCAAGTTTGGGGGTAATTTGTTATAGCCACCACAGGTAACTAATGCAGGCTGATGTGTAAAGTGCTGTGAAAATGAAAGGATTTGCTGTCATGTAGTTGAGTTAATCATATAGAGAAGAGAAAAGGGGCAGGTGTGCCTCGTGAGCCAGCAAGGCTGAATCAGCCTGCAGGTGTCAATTAATGTGTGAGCTCATTTGCAGGGAGGAAAGGAGCCTCCAAGGAGGGCTGTGAGTGGCTGGATGGTTGGACGGTGTTCGCTGCCTAACTGCCTGGTCACTGTATTTGAGCCTGAGCTCAGTGAGAAGCAGCTCCATGGATCTGAGGAAATTATTTTCCGAGAAACTCTGACAGTGTCATGGATACAAGCTGTGCTCATGCCCAGGTGACATGGTGGGACACGCAAAGGGGCAGAGGCATTCACTTATCCACTCCTGCATACAAAGCAATTGTGCTACAGCCTGATAGATACTGGTTGGCATATTCTGGTACCCTGTAGGTTATACCACAAGACTGCTAGCAGACTTCATCCTTGGTCACTGCGTAAATGATAGTGGAGAAATGCTACTCCACAGGAACTAGGCATAACCAAGAGGAATAAGCCAGAGTCACAAAGTTCTCCAGAAGCTTCCCCAAAGAATTAATGGGATACACCATGGCAGGGTAAACAGAGAAGCATGACATTAGGACTAACATGTGTACCTTGGCACTCTCAGGCTTCTATAGGGCTTTCCCTGAGACACATGTTCCTAGCAGATCCAGTGACAGATGTGACCACGTCTCACCTTTGTCATGTGTGGCTTGTTCATAATTCTCTAAGAAGAAGGATTTCCAGTTCTGATCACTCTTCCTCTGTATCACATATTGTGAGTCCCCTTGGAGAGCCATCAGACATGGTGACAAGGTGAGGCACTACATGCCACCAGACATGTGCATTCTGGCTCTGACTCTTTCCTTTCTCAGATTTTCTTCCTGGTGCTGGCCACTCTGGATTGAGCTTGCTTATTGCTGGCTCCACAATGCAGTGCTTTGCCTGCAGAATGTCTGCACTCACAATGCTACACAGCATGTAGCAGTGCTCAAACGTTGGCTAATTAGCTGATGCCCCCATTATAATAACTGAAAAAGAAAGTTTGGGACTCAAAAGATACTTGCAAATATCACTAAACCCATGGCTCACTGGGCTGGAAAATCTCCAAAATTCTCTGAGTGAATGAGGCCTGGGAAGCCCATTGTGGTGGCCTGAGGGGGTCAGTGGGAAGCTCTGGAAAAGCCCACCTACTACTCCTGCTGAAGACAGCCTTTTTTTCCCTGAGGAAGCTGGGGAGCTTCTTTGGGTTCTCCTTTAGTGTACCTTTCTCTTCCCACCTTCTCCCCCTTGGGCTTATTTTGTGGCATCAGTATGGACTGCATCTTCATGCCCCTGCCCTACCTCTTCTCTCTTCTTGTGCTTAGCTCCTCCAGGCTTGGGTTAAAGATACTTTGGAAAGTTCCTCCTGGTATCCCTCTGCTTGGGAAAATCTCCCAAAAGGATCTTAGTGTCACTGTAAATTTTCCTCTAAACTTCTTCCTCAGAATGAAATGCCCTGAATCATTCCAAAATTTCAAAAATTGTAGTACCAAGGGCAGGGAGGAAGGGGAGAGAAGGGACAGAAAGCCAGAGAACTTTTTTATGTAGGAAAGATTGTCTCCTGGAAGTCAGTCCTCCAAGTCCCTAAGGTTTTTTTGGTTTCGTTTTGTTTTGTTTTTGTTTTTTTGAGACAGGGTCTCACTTTAGTCAGGCTGGCCTCGAACTTGTGGCAGTCATCCTGCCTCAGCCTCTCGAGTGCTGGGATTACAGGTGTGCACCACCTTACCCAGGCCCCTAAGGCTCTTGATCCCTAAGCCTTTCACAGCTATCAGAGACAATGCTTGTGTATAATGGGAGCCAACCCCACAATCCATTTCAGATGACACTTCCATGAAATATAATGAAAAATAAGTAGAAAAACAAAAACTTAAAATAAATGCCCACTGATCATGCATTTGCATGTGGCAATGTCAAAATGCTATAACTGTTCCTAAATGCTTACTTTCCATTTTTACAAATATCCCACTGAGAACAGATAATAAATGTTTGGGCCCTGGTACCAGTCCACAGAGCAGACTTTGAGCACACACATAGATTAATGGACAGACTGCTTATTCACAGCTAGAACCTTGAAAGTGTTCTTTATTCTTTGGTACTATATACGAATCTGTAGCCAAAGACTTTCTCAGCAGAAGAAAAGAAAGTTCTGATGGTTTACTATCCAGTCTAGTCTTGCTGGGGTTGGGGGGAAGCAAGCTCTCTCCAATGGAAAGAGAGTCATCAAAGCCACCATCTCTCTAGCAGTAGACAGTGGTGGCCTCACTGAGTCATCTGGGAAAATGAGGAAGCTGCACTCATCTTGAGGGAAGACGAGGTGTGATTGGTTTGAGGAGTGTGGGTGTCACCCTGTTCCTCCACCTGTCCTAATGTGAAAGCTGCCCCTCATGAGAGGAATCTTTACTGCCATGTGAGGCCTAAGACACAGAATGAATACTTGTACCTTTATTTCAAGTTGTGGCTATGAATTTTAAAAATGCCCTTAATACGTAGGATGACTTATGTGTTTACTATGTGGTGTCCAAGGCTCATCTTCAGACCCTATCAGGTTGTTGGGTTTTGGCAGGAGGGGAGTTAATAGTTTTTATTTTTTTTCTGGTTTTAGTTATTTGTAAAGGCTCCTAGAACCAGGCCATG